CTTCCATCCCAACAGCCTCCATCATCTCAGTCACAGCCGGCATCCAACATTGAAGACGACGACTTCGTGCACCAATTTCAAGACCAACATCCCTTTTAATTTTTTTTAGTTTTTAATTGTATATTATGAATTTTAAAACTTATTAATTCTATATTATTTATTTATAAATATTTTGTTATTTATTTTTTTATTTATAATTTGGTTTTTTTAATTTTTTTAATATATATAATTTTAATTTATAAATATTCTTTTTTAAATAGGAAAAAATTGTTTCGAAGCAAAATCCTCGTAAAGATTTGGAAGTAAACTCCTCGTAAACTTTCCTAGCAAGTTCCTCGTAAAGAGTCTACTACGAGATTACGAGGAAATAGTTTACTATGCCCTTACGAGGAAAGCCTACGTGGACCTTACGAGGAAACCTTTTCCACGCTTTTACAAGGAAACTTTTCCTCGTAAATTAGCTAGGAAATTACGAGGAAAATATGCTTTACGATGAACGTCTTTCGACGAAACATGTTACCTCGTTATTTCCTAGTAAATGACCATTTACTAGGAAATGACGAGGAAAACCCGTCCTAGTAAAGGACGTGTTTTCTTGTAGTGAAAACAATAATAATTATAAACCAACTTATTTCAGTTGACAAATAATCCAAAAAGTATTAGAATAAAACATATCCTTAAGTTTATGATAAATTTATTGTCAAATATTTCCAGTAATTAAAATATTAACTTGAAACATATGATTTAAAAAGAAGTGTTCAAATATTTTACATTTTTTATCATTCAAAATTTAGTCATGTTCTACCATTTTAAACACATAGTAAAATTTGAATATATTTAAAGATTTTCTAAAAATTTGAAAATGACTAAGGTCCTACTATATATTAATTCAAAAGTCATTTAATTATCTTTTGCTTATATGTCACTGATAGGTGACGGTTTAGAAAATTGTTATAATTCGATTGGTTGATTAGTTTTATTAAATATATATTTTAATCATATCTAAAAATAAAAATATATTTTAGAACCAATTAATATAAGTTACCAAACAACACAAAAAAATCTTACAAATAATGATTTATGATAACAAATAGCTGAATTATAGAAAGAAAAAATAAGATTTCATCAATTTGTTTATTTTTGTAAGTTATTTATATATAATTAGGTCATGTAATCAAACAGTTAAACAAGGTGAACCATAAAAACTTATAAAGTTTATAAATAATTATTTGTAAATTGTTATAAATATATTTATTATCATATATATGTATATTTATAAGGATTTATAAATTATATTAATTATATCTCATTTTATTATTCAGAGACAAGTTAATTAAGTGATTTTTATTACACATAAGTTCATCGGTGAAATTATAAAAAAAAAACACTGGTACATTTTCCATATTTGATGATTTTGAGAATTTTATTTATTTTTATGGATACTAAAATAAAAATTAATTCAACAATTAATTATCTGTTTTTTTAGATTTGAATACCTCATTCATATCAAAAAATAGAATTCATTTTTAATCATATCCAATTTTGTTTTTAATTTTTGCCAAATATTTTGAAAGAAACACCTAAAAAAAAATATCTATTTTTTAATTTAAATAAATTGTATACAATCAAACCAAGCAATGAAATTCATATGTAAAAAATAATCTACAAAGCCGATGTCAGACCTACATGAGCCTCCAAAAATCGTCTTGGAGATACACAAAAAAAAACACTTTTTCTCTTTTGGAGGTTATGATATTTCTGTTTCCATGTGTTAAAATAAAACAAAAAAATAATACGTGAAATAGTTCTAATATTATCTTTATGTAAGTGAAAGAAATAATTTTAATATTTCTAATTATGAACTATTTTAACTCTTCTAAAAATATATAATGATATTTTGTTGTTGAACTATTTTAAATCTCTTAACTCTTCTAAAAATATATAATGATATTTTGATTATTAAACTATTTGAAGGTAAAAAAAAATAATTTTAATATTTCTAATTATGATTCGAAAATTAGAAAAATAGAAAATATAATATATATTTATTCGTATTATATTACTACCCGCAAAATTGCGGGCAAACACCTAGTATGATATAAATTTAATGTTATATATTATATAACTATATAATTTTGTTGTTTAAGTTTCTTATTCCTTATTATTAATATATAATAATTTTTATATTTTTTAATTTATATTTTTATTGATTGTTATTACTTACTAATACTGGAAGCTCACGTCGCTACATCGCACCGACCCTAACCTCTTACCGTGGGAGGGACTGTAGGTCAATTGGTGACAGTTTGTCTTGTGGATAGTTGTTAAAGGGTGAGGTCTTGGGTTCGACGTACGCCAAGCACATCAATAACCTAACGGTGGATGTGGAGGCAGTTCCTCCCACAGTGAGGGGTTAGGGTCGGTGCGTTGCAGCGCTGTAAGCTTCCACGGGATGAGTTATGACAAATATATTTTTGAGTTTGATACAACTATAATATGAAATACTCAAATATATAATCTTCTTTAAAATAGAATTTCAGTTTCTTCAATTTTCATACAATAAATTTTAACATTTTTTCAGATATAATATAGAAAAATATTTGTTAATGATAATTTATATTTTTCATGATGTGTTTAAAAATGATCTTTTAACATCTATCATTTTAGTATTTTGCGAGATTTTATAAGTAAATATATTTTATTTATTGATAATATTTTATAAACTATTAATAAAAAGAAAACCCGCACGGTTATTCGGGTTAAGATCTAGTTATGTCATTAAAATTTGATAAGAAAAATATCAAATACTTGGGTAGAGATATTAAGATGGATAAATCTTACTCTTTTAAACATGTCTTATTTATGATCCACCTAATTTAAACTCCAAATTCGTTTAGACCAATTTTATTTTGGAAATAATTTCTGTATTTAAAAGGGTTATATCTAAATTAGATACATATTTTATTTCAGATTTTTAAATGAGTACATTTTTGGATACTGAGATTTTTTTTTTTTTTTACTACGCTTTTGTCTTTGCTGCGCGCGAATTAGTGAATTTTCAAAAAAACAAATTTCTTATTTCGTAGTGTAATGATTTTTAGTCCAAAATATAATTAGTTTTAATATTTTAATGCAATTTTTGTATTTAGTGAGTATTTTGTGACCAATAAAATTATGTGGGCTTTTTAATATTTGGTTGAGCTTAAAAATTAAAATGATATTTTAAAAGTTACAACTTACTAAATATTAGTGATGAAACTACTTATATTATGAAACAGAGGGAATAATTTTGTATTTGTTCACCAAAATAATAATATAATGTTTAGAATATATAGATATTCGAGAAGACGTTTAGCTGGTTTTCTTGGTTGTGTGTTTCTTGATGATCTTCTGTTGAGATAGATGGTTAGCTCTACTCATGTATTTAAGTTACTTTGATCTTATCTCTAAAGCTTTTGTTGATTTTTATTTTGTTGTTAAAAGGATATATTAGTGATGAAGCGAGTCATACCTTCCCTGTAAATTAGGATGTATAGATCAAAAAGCATTACAAATTTCAAATTATTTTCCGGATTTTATCTAATAATTTTTAATTAAATTTGGAATTTCTTGCATTTATATATATACATACTGAAAATATTTGAAAATATAGAACAATTGACGGATTTTATTTACTGTCTTTACAAAAAATTGGAATGATAAGAAATTACTTTTTTTTTTGTAATTTTATTATATGAAACTACATATAATTTTCAAGACTTTTAAATTAATTAAAACTTAATATCTATGATTTTATTATTATTTTTTAAGTAATATAGTCTTAACTTTTATTATGATGTTAAAATCATTGATTTCCCATTTTTCTTCCAAATCGGTTTTTTACTTTAATTTATACTAACCAACAAAATCTAATTAAGTTTGCTTTTATGTAATTTTGGTTTTCATATACATAATAAAATTTTACCACAACTAAATTTTCAAAAATATAAAGGCGATTTTTAAAGTCTGGAATAGAAGTTGAACATAATGCAAAGTATTTAATTTTAATATGTCTTTATAATCAGGGTAATTATATGGAAATACAAATGAGATCATGTGCCAAGAGAATAATTTTTTTTTTTTAGTTTTTGACAAATATATTTAGAAAAGCATCCAATTAGCAAGGACAGTAGATGATTTCTTCAAAAAGAACAGTAAGGTTCATCAAACTAATTTTTTCACAAGGTTAGGTATAACCCTTGTTCTAAAACTCGGCCGAGTTGCCGGTTTTACTGCTGGTTAATCGTAATTCGGGGACCAACCGAGGCGATTTGAACCAAATGGGTATGATAAATCGCTCAAGGATAAACCGACCGCTTAATAAAACTGTTCGCTATTAAATCGGTTAACTACCGATTAATCACAAAAAAATATACTTGGTTAAGCCCAATAAACTTATGGGCTTTGACATTATATAACCTAATTGTGTATATGTAGCCACCGAACATGTTGTATTTATAATAGCCATTTCTCTTGTTTAAGCTTACAAACTCTCAATGTGGGATGTTTTTAAATCACAGTCCATTCAATTAAAAGCAAAGTTTTTTTGTTAAAGTGGAGTTGATACTACCGGTAGTTACCCTCAATATTTCTATTTTTTTAGATATCTTTCACTTGTATTATATCTGAATTGAAATAAATATGATTATATTTTATGATTAATTTGGTATATATTATAAATCTATAAATGTTATTAATGACATTTCATATATAAACATGTCGTATACATAGGTTTTGTATTATTCATATAAGTGATATATATATACAAAAATTCCTCCCCGCGTACTCCCCGATTTTTTTTCCGATTTTTTGATAAATCGATAGGTGCTAATGTGTTGCACGCGTAGCACCTAGTAAGTTCCCGAATAAGGGGTATAACAGATGATGAATACAATGAATTTACCTTTTAATACTGAGAACACCGTTACTAAATGAATATTGAAAACATCATTTTTTCATAGTTACACGATATGTATGCGACAAAGATTGCTTGCGGCGGAACAAGATGGATTCACCAGCGTGTCTTTCCCCTGTAAACTTGAGGGTAATAGAGCCAGCCACTCGTTACAAGCAAAAACATCATCGTGAGCATCCAAGACACCGTTGGTCTCACCGCCCACCGCCGTCCAAAACTTGTTCTTTCTACCACCACTTCCGTCGCTTTACAAATCCCATGCAACACATAGAACAAAGTGATTCCCCCTGAAGGAATTACACGAGTTTTGTAGAAGTATAGTAGCTCATGAAACAGACCAGAGATGTGGAACGTCGTAAAAACCCCCCCATGAACCTAGCCAAACTGGAGTTGCGTTTGGATTCTCCCCATATGGAAGTGTAGACGCTTGACCGGAGTATAGAGTGTAAGTGAAAAGAAGACACCACAATAGTAATGCAGAAAGTAAACCAGAAACAATATGTAAGAACAAGCAACACCAATGTTTTATTAGAAATCGCCTTTAAACAATATATTACAAGATTTGCTTATCAGTTTCACACAGTCTGTTAACATTCTAACACCTGCTAGTGAAGGATATCTAATCTACCCAATTATGTCTCTCTTTCGTCAAGTATTTCAGCCACTGCTTCAGCACGACCACATAACACTTCCAAGAGCTTGTCTCTATCTCTATCAGATCAGCCTCTGTGTCTATGTCTCTCTACAAACAACCACATAGCTATCTTATAGTTATTCTTCATGTTCCCGAAACCGTAGTTTCCAAGGAACACAATATGGACATCTTCCATAACATTAAGTGCAACTTTCCTTTTCTTGCAATGAACTTATTCATCTTCCCTTAAATCATAAACTTACTTCCCAAGTTTATTCATATGACCTTTTTTCCAAGATACACACTTGCTCTTCAAGTCTACACAACTCCAGCTCGGCATCTTGACTCCACATGGTCTTCACCACTCAACACGTCATCTGTGTCAGCAACTACGTCATCGACTACTTCAGGACATACATCTTACATCAGCAATCTCCCCCTTTTAGCTTTGTGTTCCGATCAAGCACAACATCATTTTGGTTCAACAAACACGTTCTTCACTTGGAACCTTCCATGCTAAATGTGATTTTCTCCCCCACGAGATGTGCACCAACCCATGCTTTTCTGCTCTATGAGATGAGCACCATCTACTTCAGGACGTCCATCACCATGCTCTTATCCCCCATGAGATATGCACTCCTTGGACCAGAACGTCACCACTTCTCCCCTTGCTTGATTGCATACTAAGCTAAAACACAGATTCTTAGATGTCAAGCCTTCCATCACAGTAATCATGATACAGCCCCTGCTGCAGCGGAATAGAATACAAGTACTGCATCACGATCTGATGCACCTGTTGAATCACTTATCGACCCACTTCATTTGAGGACTTGGCTTCCTTCATGTGTCATCTTCTTGACCATGAGCCCCTCCTCATCCACACCGAGTGCACTCTGCACTCGTTTCTACTGTCTTGGAGTGATTTCTCTATCACCCTCTTGAAGATCATCTCGCATCACTTCCTAACGCAATTCCATCCCCTTAACCTTTTGAACCACAAATAACTCTATGTCCTGGCTTCAGACTTGATGCTTCTTGATCAACCTCAAGATCACTCTCACTAAAGCTGTGCCCTTCTTCTGATGTCTCATCCTTGATCTCATCAAGTGAGCCACTCTTGGCTAAGGACACATCTTCAACCCTCTTGGGTTTAGTGAACGTCTTGTTCACCCTCTTGGCCATGGTTCTGCTCTTCTCACGAGCAGAACACTCCACTTTATTGTGTCCAACCTTCTCACATAACCAACATCACATCCGATGTTGCTTTTTCTTGGGCCTGACACAGTTGCTGATGCACCGATCAGTCTCCTTTCTTGTACCAGATGCACAACAATGCTTCAGAACCTCATGTCTGACCTTTATGTTGTTACATTGATGTACCAAATTTGGCTTGCTACTCACACCTATGCGCTGTAGAACTTCATGCCGTACTACTTGTCGCATGTCCCGACGTACTTCCTAAAAAGCTTCTTTGGCCCTACGTTTTGATGTGCCCCTTTGATCAATCAACTTGAAACAATTACGCTGAACATGTGGACATGTCCTTGAACTCCACAAGAATAACATGTTGGACCATGAGTCCTCATATCATATACTCTCTCAATCTGATGCTTCTTCCTCAATATCCTGAAACATTTTGACCTAATATGTCCAACAACTCTACAATGATGACACACAGGTTTAACACAATCTTGTCTCGTTTCTTCTTTCTCTACTTGCAAGTCCTTCTGTAGAACTTCAATAAGTGCTTTAAGATGTCTTTGCTCTTTTACTAACACTATATTCTCTTTTACAAGCTTTACTAACATTCCACACACTTGTTTGTAGCACTCTTTGAGATCATCATCTAGTCCTTCATCATATTTTCCTCCTCAGATTCATAATCTGATTTAGATGATGTACTTGCTTCATCTTTGTGTGCACCAAAAGCAACTGGGTTGAGCACTTAATCTTTTCTGATTCATTATCATTTGTCCTTATGAAGGATATCTCTTTCTTCTGCATCTCATCGTGTCCAATTTCTCTCCACCTAAAGTCTTTGAATCTTCTTCTCTTGGCCATTGGACATTCCATTTTGAAATGTCCATATCCTCTGCATTTATATCATTGCACCTCTTTGTTACCGCATGTCTCGGCAACTTCTTGCCTTTGTTTTCTCATAGCAACTTTCTCATGTCCTTGCCACTGTATTACTTCCCGTAGTACTTGGTGAAGAACGCAAATCATCTTAACCATCTGATTTTCATTCTCTGATTTTTGACTTGTCGCTTTAGCAACTGCCATGTTGACTTCAGTATGATTTCCTACACCATCAAGCTCCATCTCATGAGCTTTTAACATACCCACAACTTCGTGAAAACTGAGTTTATCTATGTCAAAAGACACAAACATTGCTGCCTTTTAAGCTGTAAATCTTTCAAGAAGACACCTTAAAAACTTCTTCACCACTTTCTTGTCCTTAAATTTCATGCCCAGAACACGAGCCTCTTGTGTTAATGCACTGAGTTAAGAACTAAAATCTGATTCAGACTCATGTTCTTCCATCTTCAAGTTCTCAAATTTTGATTTGAAAAAATCCATTCCTGAACTCTTAACCCTTTCAGTTCCTTCATAGTGTAATTGCAAAATATTCTATGCCTCTTTTGCATTCTTACAGTTTTGAATCAGATCAAGTGGCTTCTTTTTGACTGATGTAAATATACCACATAAAGATTTTGCATTATACTTTGACATCTCTTTTTCACGCTTAGTCCATTTAGCCAATGGTTTATTAACCAAAACACCGTCTTTATCTACTGTCTTGGGGAATTCATAGCCATCTTCTACTGATTCCCAAACATCCATATCAATACTTTGTAATCTTGCCTTCATCTTCACATTCCAATGCCCATATTGTTCAGGATCTAGCATAAACTCAGCCACCATGCTTCATGCTACTTTCTACTGTACTATGTATTTCCTTCTTTCCTCTTGCCTTAGGGATCTTCACCAGTAATTTAGGTGACCCGATCTGATACCACTTGTAAGTACAAAGAGGACACCACAATAGTAATGCAGAAAGTAAACAAGAGACAATATGTAAGAACAAGCAACACCAATGCTTTATTAGAAATCGTCTTTAAACAATCTATTACAAGACTTTCTTATCAGTTTCACACAGCCTGTTAACACCCTAACAACTGCTACTGAAGGATTCCTAATCTACCCAATTTTGTCTCTCTTCCGTCAAGTACTTCAGCCACTGCTTCAGCACGACCCCAAACACTTCCAAGAGTTTCTTTCTATCTTTGTCAGATCAACCTTTGTGACTCCGTCTCTCTACAGATGACCCTATAGCTATCTTATAGTTATTCTTCAAGTTCCCGAAACCATAGTCTCCAAGGAATACAATATGGAGATCTTCCATAACATCAAGGGCAACTTTCCTTTTCTTCGAATGCATTTGTTCCTCTTCCCTTAAATCAAAAACTTACTTTCCAAGTTTATTCTTTTTTCTTTTTTTGCAAGATACACACTTGCTCTTTAAGTCTACACGACTCCAGCTCAGCATCTTGACTCCACATGGTCTTCACCACTCAACACGTCGTCTGTGTCAGCAACTACGTTAGCGACTACTTCAGGACATACATCTTACATCAACATAGAGGAGACCATGGGGTTCCAACGGCGACCCCAGAAGTCTTGAAGAGAGGTGGCTAAGTATGGTCCATCAAAAACTGGCTCGAGGTCAGTGAGCAGGAACTTGATGACCGTTAATAATATATTTAATGGCAAGTAAAAATTCAGTGCAAGCAATAACACGGATGGGGGAAGGTTTTGTTTGTATTGTCTTACATACAACACCATTCCATATATTACCACTTTTATGGCGAAAAACCATCTGGGGAAACTAGATAGAGATTTAGGGTTTTCTTAAAGTTTCTTGATTGGGAAGTAACTGAAGCAGATAAACTGGTGGAGACTTGGAAGTGGGGAAAGAGGACCTTTATCAAAGGCGAAGAGGATAAAAAACAGAGAGGAGAGAAGCATAGGAAAAAAAAAGAACGGAGCACAAACGGGAAGAATAGGGAGTAATCGAAGAACCCCATGTTTGATTCTAGTCGGTAAGTAATAACAGTAACATACTGAGATCATGGCAGAAAACCATACTACCATAAATCTCTTGAGTTCTTCCATATTCATCTCTCAGATATTTTTTTTTTTGGTGTTGCTGAATTTTTGCAATCAGCAAGCTTTTAACTTGGCTAGCTGTTGTGTGTATTCAGAGTAGCCGGAATGCATAGACAATATGGGCATGTGGTTTAACAGGTAGACAAATGAAGGATCAGGTTCGCTTATACTTCTCTCTTATGGGGCTGGGTCGTGTTTACAGTTGCTTCTACTCAAACTAATTTTGCAAGATGTGATAGGTCATGCCCCTATTTTATTTGTGCAATACTTTTGAATATTGTTGTTCAAAATTTTTAATGAATTAATCCCTCCCCGGTCATAATTACCACTACTACCGGTAAATCTTTAGTTTAGCGGTTTTATAATTAAAAAACTAAATTCAAAATATAATAACATTATCTAAAAATTCATAATTTTAATTTTAAAAATTAGCATTTTTTTAAAAAAAAAACTGTAAATATATGAGTCTGATTTGTTATCCTTTTAAAATCAATATTATATATGTACAAATTAAAAATGTAAAAACCCAGAAAATATAGCAAAAATTTATCTAAAGATTTACTTGTA